CATCCCAAATCCATCCACCTGTCTCCATCTCTCTATGACTATCCTCATTACTTGCCTGGACCATTTCAATAGCTTCTTAACTGGTCATCCTGCTTCTACTCTTTCCCATTCTCCTCACTACAGCTGGTGTGGCCTTACAGAAATGTACCTCATGTCACAACACTCAGATAGTTTCCCACTGCAGACAGAATAAAATCCAACTCCTTATTACGGCCTTGAAGACTGTAAGATCTGACCTCCCACCATTCATCCTGACACAGACTTCTTATCACTCTCCTACAATTCTCAAGCCACACTGGCTTTCATCTAGCTCCTCAAATCCACTAAGCCTAATCCTTAGCTTTTCCCTCTGCCTGGACATTCTTTCTCCTGACCTTTGCATGGCTCATTTCTCATCATTAGTTAGATCTCAGTTCAAATATCAATTTTTCAGAGAGGCTCTCCCTGACTACCCAAACTAAAGTAACCCTTTCCTCCTCCGCCCCACTGTTAAATCACACTCTTACCTTCCTTCATGGTACTTATTTTAAATTATGTGGCCTATTCATTAATCATCCACTGTCTATCTCCACCACTGGAATGTAAGCTCCACGATGGGAGTATCTTAATCGGTTTTGTTTAGAGCTATACCTGAGCACTACCAGAGGGTGTGGGACATGATAGGCTCTCATTAAATAAATCAATGAATCTCCCTTTCTCTAACAAATACTTATGTACTATACTTAATTTAAAATCCTACCCAGAATGAAGAAGTTAGACTATTGCTTTCTGCAGCAGTGCTTTTCAAGTTGTGTTGCGTGTATTATTTCCAGGACCCAGGCTACAGACATTCTGATGTTAGTGGTTTTAGCAGAACCCAAAATTCTGCATTTTAACAAGCACCCTGCATGACTTTAATAAAAATGATCTGTAAAACACACTTTGAGAAAAATGGTTTTATATATTCCTTCTAACTTAAAATGTCTGTAACAATGAAATAAAGTTTACCACCATTCCTATGAATAGCAACATCACCATCCTTTTCCTCTCTCTACTGCATTCTCCTATTCCATCCCTGCACCTTCCCCACTCACCCCCAAGATACCCCAGGTATCCTCTACCTAGCTGCTTAGGGCATCTACCACAAATCAAAGCAGGAAAAGACAGCTCTCAGCAAATACTACAACCCATTTCCTTTTGTCCTGCAATCAGCACAGCTACATATTAAGAATTATAGAAAAGGTCTTATTGTTTGTTTTTAGTTGTTATAGCAAACATGCAAGAAATTGTTTGATTTTGTTGTTGGTTTGTTTTCCTAGAGTGAACGTTTTTAATAACTTTTTTATCATGGCAAAAATCAATATATATTAGTTGTTAAAATTCAAATAGGTACATGTAAAATAGAAAAGGTTAAAAATTCCTCATAATTATCCCAATAACCTCAGAGATAACCACTGCTTAGTTAACCTTTTCAGGTTTTTCTCTACATATATACAAACATACATACACAAACAATGTTTGTAATATGGAGCCAGGATTGAGAATCTCTGATTTTAGTCAGTCACACTAGTGAATAAAATTAAATTAATTAGGGCTTCCCTGGTGGCGCAGTGGTTGAGAGTCTGCCTGTCGATGCCGGGGACACGGGTTCGTGCCCCGGTC